CATGTACATCGTATTTTCTTGCATTCACATAATAAATTTTGTATAAAAATGTATGTTTATGTATTTTTAGTTATTACAAAACAATAATAAAAGTAAAAGATCAAATAATATGATTTTTCGAACTGGTATGGAAACGCCTGAAACATGCAACCCGCCGTACACAGGCCGTTATCGCACGTAAAACTGTATAAATAAGTAATTTTTTCTAACTGTCAATTATTTGTTAAAAAATCTGTAAGTCATATATTACAACAACAGATGCTATGTAGATACTATAATATTTTTTTCAAATCGAAAAAACCGATAGAAATTAAACAATTGCAAAAAACACTAAATTGTTAATAACTATAGTTAAAAACATCGTATCGTAAAAATTTTTTTTTGTAAATTTGTGTAAAAATATACACTATTAGATGGAACTAGTTCTACTTCTCCACAATAAAAAATGATCGAGTAATGTTAATTTGTTGATATTGCAAAATTAAATTTTTTAAAAAATCGGGGTAAAAATTGAAAAAAAAAATTTTTTTTACAATATTGAAGTCCTTTGTATTCTGAATAAAATCCATTTTAAAGTTTCAGTCTAGCTCAATTTTAACGATCAGGACAATCAAATGAATTTTTTAATTAATTATATTTTATTTACGTTATTTTTCATAATACAAGAAAAGCCTTAAGCATGGCGTAAGATCTCTATAAGAGCTATCGAATACCTAATTTTAAAGCATTTTCATCAAACATTATAAAAGTTATGGATGTTTCAAAATGACAATTTATAACGATGATTTTTGCACTTTTTTGCAATATAACTTCGCGAAAAAAAGTCTTCCAATGATCTAACCTACACAGATCGGTAGATAATTAAATAGCGAACAAAATATCTCCAGCTATTTTTGCAATCGGACAGCCACAAAAAAAGTTATATGAGAAAAATTAAGAAAAAAAATGGTTAATTTTTACTAATTGTTTAACAACAATTGAAGCCCGTGGTTTGGACAAAACTATTTTTCTATGTTTACAGACCATAATACGAAGCGATCTGCAAAGTTTGGACGCTATTTACGATTTGTTCCTTATTGGCTATTTTTTGATGCTTCAGCTACCGGGCTAGAGTGCGTAGCACGAATGTGATCGCAAGGCACGAGTTACTGTCACCAGCCACGAGTGCGAGTCTATCACACAAGTGTGAGAAATCATTCTGCACGAATCGCGTACAAGATTTTTCGCAATAAGTGTGAGGAAGATAGTACTTAAGTATGTTGATAATTCGCAAGAAAGGTTGTGCGGAGTTTAGGGGGTCCCCTTACTGCAAAAATACCAAATGATCGTTCGAAAAAAAAAAGTGTTTTTATGTCTTAAATATAAAAGCATAAATTTGATTTAATTAAAATTTTATATGAAAAAATAAACTTTGAATTACTTAAACAAAAACAATTTCAAAGAATTTTACAACTGTAATAAGTTTTGTTAAAGATACCCGCACCAACGTAATCGGATTGTGATTCCCAATAAAACGTTCTGGAATTTTAATAATTTATAGTTAATAGAATTAACAAAAAAAGTCATTGAGAAGGAATTTTAGTTAAGAGTTGAAATTTTAGGATTGATACTTGTACACATACGGTATCTTCATTCGTTCTCCACGAGATTTCTGGTGTGTAGCAAAAATTTTTCTGTTGTGTGGAAAAACCTTTGCCACACGCTATGCGGGAAAATCGATCTTCCACACTAAAAATAGTGCGAAAAACAAATATTTTCCGCACAATATTGCGAAATAGTAGTTTTCCTACGAGTTTGAAAAGTCTCTGTTTGCGAACCTAGAGGTTTGCGGCCCGAGCCGAAGGCGAGGGACGTAACGAGGTTTGTAAAGGAGACTAATTACTAGTCATTTTAACTATTTAAAATCAATTAATTGAGCAAGCACCTATCCCCACGCATATTGAAGTGCTTACTGGTCGCTTTATTTATTTACAATCAATAGAATAATACAAGCACCAATCCACACATTACCCAAGGCGCTTACTGGTCACTTATTTAATTTATAATAAATAAAATAATAACGCAGGCGCCAATCCCTACACAACTGGGGGCACTTACTGGTCACTTTGATTATTTGAAATCAATAGATTAATGCAAGCCTCGCAGATCATATAGGGATTAGCCTTCACATTATTTTTTTCATTGTAAATGATCAAAGCAACTAGTAAGCACCCTGATATGCGTGGGGATAGGCGCTTTCGTTATTATTTTATTTTATCAATAATTAAAGCAGCCAGTAAGCACTCCCGTTTATGTGGTGATTGGCACTTGCGTTATTATATTTATTGTATCAATAATTGAAGGCGTTAAGTTAGCACCCCATGTTGTGTAGGGGTTGGCGCTTGCGTTATGATATTTATTTTACCAATAATTGAAGGAGCTAGTAACCACCCCCAGTTGTGTGGGGATTGAAGATTGCATTATTATTTTATTAATAATAAATAATCAAAATGACAAGTAAGTGCCCCTGGTTTTGGGGGTATAAGTGCTTGCGTTGTTATTTTATTTATTATAAATCAAGTATGTGACCAGTAAGTGCCCTGAGTTGTGTGGGGATTGGATCTTGCGTTATTATTTTATTTTATTAACAATTAAAGAAGTTAGTAAGCACCCCTGGTTGTGTGGAGATTGGCGCTTGCGTTATTATTTTATTAATCATAAATAATCAAAGCAACCAGTAAGGGCCCTGGGTTGTGAGGGGATAAGTGTTTGCGTTATTATTTTACTTATTATAAATTAAGTAAGCGACCAGTAAGCGCCCCGTGTTGTGTGGCGGTTGGCGCTTTCGTTGTTAATTAATAAATTTTATTATTCATTCAAGCTCATGAGGCTGCTTATTGACCCGTTGTGTTATTGGGTTATATAGCTTGGGATTAGCTTATTAAGTTATTGTGCATAAAATTGTGTCGAGTTATTTGGGGATTTGCGTATTGAATTTCCCGCAAGTTTGCTAGTCACATTTGGGGAGAATCACTGGCTTCCCTCCTCCTTCTACCTTATTCAGCTTTTGCATTTTCCTCACTAGGATCTGTAGCTATTCCTTGTGACAAAAATGCAAAATCAAATCCGCTTTACCCAACACTGGCCACACTACACTTGATCCTCACTCTGTAGCCAAAGGGGACATCAGAACCCTCAGAACGTGTGAGAGAGAACGCATTTTATACCACCACTCCTGATTGGCTGTTCCGGTGCCCCCGACCCACACTTTACTGATATCATCAAAACCGTTTACCTATAACTAAATTATCAGGAGTGGTGTTAGTGCAGGGTGTGGCATAGAAATCATAGAATGCGTTCTCTCTTCTCTCTCGCATCTTCTGAAAGTTCTAAATTCTTTGAGTTTCTGATGTCGCGACGCCCCCTCCTCTGGATTGCTTTTGGTCGCGCTCTCAGCGACTCAGCACTCTCACTCTCTCAGCAGCTTAGCACTCTTAGACCAAGAGCTGAGGCCGAAGGGTGGTCAAAATTTTAACCAACCGCCACTCTCACCCGAATTGAGAAACCTTATGATTCGGGCAAATCCAAAATGTTTCGGTCATATTTTATTCTGATGAAGAGTTATGTCGTAATTATAGTGGTGCCACATAGTCTTTTTTACTAACCAGCCGCAACTTACACCAATGTATAGAAACTAAAAAGTTGTTACCTGAAATTGTCATTTGCGGCAAGATTAGAATGCATGTTGTACCTGAAAATCGACCTCAAAAAATGTAAATATTGTATTCTTCATGGTAAAGTAAAACAAGGTCGGCCCATGCGCATGTTTACATGACCAAACCAATCAGAGAAGGAGCCTGTATGACGTTATAATTAGCGCTGAATTTGAATTATATATATATAAATGAGCAGCAAGTAACAAAGTGTTGTCGTTATTTATTGAGGTGAGTGTTGATGGTCACTGTTACTTAAAAATATGAATTATAACGTCGGACTTGTAAAAACGACTGACCTGTTCAAAAATTTTTTTAAACTATAATTTATAAGTTACGGAAGAGAAATGTATTAACTCTTTAAAAAAATTACAATTGAAAACACTAACTTATCTGATGTTTTGTTAAGATATAAAAAATTTTGCTTACATTTTTTAAATTTTATTATTGTACATGAACTAATTATAACAAGTTAACTACATGTTTTTACTTCGTATTACACATTTACTTTATGTAAGTTTAGTCTAGTCAGTTTATGTACAGGTTTTATCATGATACTCTACTTACTGTGCTGTTATTAAAATGATTTAATATTCAGCACAAAATCCATATTCAAATTTGGTATCCACTTATGACGTCATACAGGCTCCTGCGCAAACTCAGGACAAATAAATTGACAAAAATTGTCTGGCTAGTGACTTAGTGAGTCGACCTTGTTTTATTGTACCATGGTATTCTTATCTATAATGTTACCTACAATGCATCATCTATTATCTAAGATGAGTATTATAGATAAGATCGGATAGGGGGTATATTTTTTTAAAGGTCGATTTTCGGTACAAGATGCGTTTTTATCTTGCCGCAATTTAAGTTGCATCTGGTTCATAAAAAAACCATATGGCATTTCTTAAATACCAACAAAACTCTTCACCAGAATGAAATATGACAAAAAAATTTCGGATCTCTACGAATTATGAGGTTTGTCAATTCGGATAAATTTGGCTGCTGGTTAAAATTTTTAACACCTTTTGGCCTCCGCTCTTGGTCTATCCGTCTATCGTCTATCTCTATCCATGGTATTCACGTACTCGTAACCACTAACCACGCGGACTCACCATTCAGTCACAAGTTAGCGCTGGTGTCTTTGTGCACGAATAGACAATACTGATTACTGCGAAGGAAATTATGCAGAACTGAGGATTAATAATCAATTGTTAAAAATATATATATATTTATTTATAAGGTACGAACTTACAAAACTATTCTTGTAAAAAAATAATTACAATCCATACAGATTAAACCGTTTCCTATAATTCATTCAAATAATTTTTCATATGAAAAGATACTTCAGCAGTGATTTTTTTTTACAACAGTTTCACTATCAAAAGACTTAAAGTTGATCCCGCAGTAAGCCCAACACCAATAAAGGCACCTAACATGGCAGCTGCAATCTCCCTTTCGTTTTCATCAACAACCCTACAAAGTTCGAAAAATTGGTACTTTAGAAAAAATGCAGAAATATATTTATGAAATAAGATGCTCATCACTTACGTGGGTGCTAAAATAAATGAAACATTACAAAAATATCCATTAGTGAGAGCAAATACAAATGTAAGCACCATGTATATTACGTCGTTGTGAATATAAACAGGTAAGTGATGTCGTGGTTGAGCATTGCAAAACAGAAATGCAGGTATAAACAATAATCTTAGTAAACTCAAAAATACCAATAAACCAGGCTTTTTCTTTGGCTAAAAATTATGGTTTAAAAGTTATTAGTCAATGCCACTTTTACAAAAATAAGAAAATTTTTTACCCAAATAATCATTCCAGATATGATTCTACCAACATAATCGCCACAGCTAAAAATCAAATACGTTACAACAGGCACAAAATAAACATCTGAAAAGTAAATTTCTCTATAATAAGAATACTTTCCACAGTGCTTATAAAAATGCTTTAAAAAGTTTATGAACTGTCAACAAACCGTTCCACAAAATACCATGACCTTTTCCTTGACTTTCTATTAATACTGTTACAGCAGGATATACTGATATTGTAAAAAAAAACACTAAAAAAACACTTAATCCGTAGGGCCATGTTTTTCTAAGAATAGACGAATAAGATATGGATTCCCCAGAAAAATTATTTTCATTGTTGATTGAAAACTCTGACTGCACGGTAACTTCAGTACCAATAATCACATGATGTTTAAAAAATACCTAACAAAGAAATTGTGAGTAATATTTAGAATTAAGTCATTAAACTTTTTAATTTAATGTACCTCTCTTTCTAAAATTATGTAAGAAATAAGAGATAGCAATAGCACTACATCGCCTATTGTGAAGTATAATAATCCTGAGCTGATTGGATTAGCACCGATCCACAATGAAAGTATTTCAGTCAGTGCAGTGAAAATTCCACCCAACGCTTGACCACTCGACATTGCAGTGATGTATTTGGATGAAAATTTTCCAGCTACTCCCATTAAGCTACCTCCAAAAATGGCGTTTGCAGCTAAAAATTTTTCAATCTGAGATACTTATTGCTCACATCCAATAAATATATTCTAATAAATACTAACCATTTACAATTGCCACACTTGTCAATGTAATAATGAGAAAAGTATTTTGATCTGAAATAAATTAATAGCTTTTAAATATTGTACAGGATTGTAAGACCATACTTAAAGAATCTTACATTTATCTGTATTGACTTTGGCAAACGAAGTTGTAACAATAAATACAGCTAATATTACTCCTTGAGAACCAATCATTCTGGTACTCAATGATAACCTGGAATATAAATTTTGATAATTATTAGTTTTAGAAAATATCCATGCCAAAGCTGTTATAACAAAACTAAAATGTGTATCCAAGCTTTAGAAATCTGACTTACTTTTTACTAATAAATGCATTTATTATCAAAAATAACGAATTTGGGATTGCACTCGAAACACTAAGATAAGCTGTAAAGCTAGCTTGCAGATCTGTTCTTTTACTTAAAAGATCCATACGACTCAAGTTGGAGATATGTGGTTCGCTTTCATTGATTTCTCTAAATTTATACTTCCAGTACTTGAAAAAATAAGTTTTTTCATTGTCAGCATGAGAAATTAATGAATAACTTGAAACCACAAGAGCATTTATACTTACATCATCAGCAGTGATGAAAAAATTCCAGGGAATTAAAGTATTTATTCCAAGTAAATAAAAAACTAAGAAGGCTATATTATACCTAAAACATCAATACATTAAATGCCATTACAAAAAAACGATTTTTGTTTATTTTAAGTACAATGACGAATCATGCAAATGCTAAATTAAGTTTAGTAAGAGACTTGTTGTGCAGCAAATAAGGATAGCTAATGGATATCGGACAAAGTGAAACTTGCTACCCAAAGTTGACTATTGTTACTATTATAGTACAGCTAAGTTATGTATGGGAATAAAGTATCATTTTAAATAACTTTAACACAAATTAGTATCATTGTAAGCTAGAAATTTTTCCAAAAACTTATGTAACAATGTAGATGAAGTCTTGGTTAGTTAATTATAAGTAATTGGTACATTTTACCTGTCAACAGGAATTTGATGTTTAATAAAAGGTTCATTGTCTTCATAATCAACAATTGGATTATCCTCATCTGTATTATTTTCTGATTGACAGCTCTCATTGTCTACCTCTCTTATGAAGGATTTACTACTTTCAGAACTCTTCATATTGCTTGAAAAAAAAAAAATTAACATGCTTAACACTGATTCTGCATGTATATTAACGTACAGCAAATAGTAAAAAATTTACAGATTAAAGGATAAAACATGGATAAAGGTTTCTCTTAATGGATAACGAATGATATACTACTTAGTGTACATTATGACGAGCTAACATCAGTTCCAATGAGTCATCCGAATACTGAGTAATAGAAAACACATTGAACATATAGAACTTTATATTTTGCAAACATAAAAATAATAAACATTACTCTAGTTATATTAGTAATCAAACAACTATTATGGAAAAAGTAATCAGTAGTAGTGGGTTGACAATGGAAAAAGCTTAGTATTATACAAAATATACATTAAAAACTTGGCAGTCTCACCTGTTTCATAAGGAAGTACTTCATAAACAACTCATCATTGCATTTTCTATCATTTCATAGCATTTAGAAAAAATTTTATAAGGTACAATGACTTTTTGATGTAATGACTACATTAGAAATTTTTATCATGATTAATTAAATTGCTACAAATGTGTGTATATTTTCTTATCAAATGACCATCTTAGGTCAACTATTCAGAGCATTTAATAACATTTTAATGATGTTTACTATGACTCGGTCGTTGTTTTTTTCTGTTTTATCTAAATCAGCTTGTCGTATGCTAGCGTTGCTGGCTGTTTGTGATATGCAAACGTATATATATGTACAACGATTAATGTACATATTACATATACATGCTAACAGTGCGCACAAGTTGTGCGGCACAACTGTCAACTTTGATGAACTAAGTACTTTACTGCTGGAGTGCCATGGTAATGGAGCTATTCACATAGACATTTTTTGCTTATTTCATTGTGAACGTTCATATTGAAAATGGGGTTCCACTGTGGAGTGAACAGACTGAACAGACCTATACCTCTTTTTCCATCAGGCAACAAGAACGAAGCCTATATATGGTCGCAACTATGTTGACTGACAGTGACAGAGAACACAGTATAGGTCTGCTCACTCAATTTGAGTTTATCGGAACAGTGGAGCCCCCTTTTCAATATGAACGTTCACTGAAATAAGCAAAAAATGTCTATGTGAATAGCTCCTGAGGAGTTCCACTGTTCCGCTTAACTCAAATTGAGTGAACAGACTGAGCAGACCTATACCTCTTTTTCCATCAGGCAACAAAGCCTATGTCGCAACTATGTTGACTGACAGAGAACACAAACACAGTATATTTTTGTTCAGTCTGCAATATATATATATAAGTATCGGAACTTTTTTCCTATATTAGAGAATGTTCCGCCGAGCAGACAGCAGTGAAGGGTCATTGCCAAAGACGGTACCGTGAATCCCATTCGCTGCAATGGAAATTGGAATAGCGCGCAATCGCTCTGATTATCGTTCTATAGATCGAGATATCTATGGCTAGGGATGAGTAATTGAGTGGTCTTCAACAATTGTTCTTATAGAGACATTAGATCTTATATCTCTATGTTGTAACGAATATATAAATCTATACTATAGTATCGTTAATTCGTTAGTGACAATACAATTACTACACCGTCCTTTGTCCGAGTTATGTTGAGAAACTTTGCAGTCTTTGCACGAATTGATTCACCAATCATATGTATAATTTCGGTCGAAAGAACAGATCAAAATATAAGTATACCAAAAGTGTTTTTTTAATGCAGTGTGGATTAAAAAAAAAAATTGGAAACAAGTATGAGTTGTGTCTGGGAATGGAAATATATTTGGATTCGACTGAATAGCTAGTTCCTTTTCTATAAAAAAAAAAATGAGCCCCGTGGACGTAAAAGTTGTACTCCTGGGCAATGAAGCTGCTGGCAAGTCCAGCCTGATGCGAAGATACGTAAACGATAGGTTCAATGATACCGGAGTATGCCAGAATGTAAGTTAATACCTAAACTATGCACATTAGTGATCTTATACCGAGTGATCAGCCAATGCTTGCTTCAGATAAATCTGCTTCCTGTATTTAGTGATCTTTACAACGGATTATAAGACTAAGCTCATGTCGATGTTAATAAGTTGATAATTTAATTGTTTCAAAGTCATCTGGTTATCTAAAACAAGCGTTGGCTGATCACTCAGTATCAGATCACTAATGCGCATCTTCTTTGATTGCTTTCAATTGTTTTTCCATTATTTATTTTTTTCTGGACTCCAAAGTGTCGTGTGCGCATAATAATTGCCCTCACATTCTTTGTTTACTTATGTAATTTGATGCAACCAGTAATGTATGACTAACAGTGCATTTTACTTAGATGATGCATGAATTCTGTATAATATTTACTAAATTTTTTATAGACGATAGGTTCTGCATTTGCTTCCAAAGTTATTAAAATAAACAAAAAGGAAGAGCTTGTTCTTGGAATTTGGGACACTGCTGGCAGTGAAAGGTATATACGGTTCTTACTTTGAGTACATTTATTTGTATTGATGTAATTCAAACTGAGTGTTTACTCACAGATGTTCTTTTAAGGTACTTCTCCATGACTAGGACATACTATAGAGGTGCAGCAGCTGCAATTATCTGCTATGACGTTACAGAGGCAGAATTTTTTAACAAAGCAAAATTCTGGATTCGTGAGTTAAGAAGTGTTGAAGAAAATTGTAAAATATATTTATGTGGGACTAAAAAGGATTTGTTAAGTGATACCTGTCAAGCAAATCCAAGCCTAGAAACAGTCAGAGAATATGCAGAGAGTATGCGGATTAAATTATTTATCACCTCAAGTAAAACTGGAGAAAATGTTGGTAAGAAAATTTGAATTGAAATGATCATTGAACTCAATCTCCATTTTCTTCATAATAATGATGATTATTGATTTATCACTCTCATAAAAATAGTCTTGCAGAAAAAAAGCAATCTTATATATTTCCTATTTATTTAAAGAAATGTACAGCTAGTTTTGATATGGCTCTTTTTATGTGCAGAAGACATCTTCAGTGAATTGATTAACGATTACTTGCAAAATCCCGTACACCAAAAAAAAGTGGAGAATTTCATTGTTCTGGGGACTGAGAGCAAGAACTCAACTTCTCGATGGTGTTGTTCTGTTTTGTAAGGAGCACTTTCTGTTAAGCTTTTTTTACTATTGACTGAACAATCATTAAAATTTTTCGTTAACCACACAGTAGTTGAAGTAAGATTAAATCTTTATGTAGAGTGATTAAAAAATTCATAACAATTTTTTTTGAAATAACCACAGTGTTTATGCAAAATTATACAATATAATTTTTCTTGATTCGAATAAAAAATATTTCCAAATTCGTATTATTAATAAATGCAATAATTGCTGTAACTTTTCTACTTGTTAAATGACAAAAATTGTTATAGTTAATTATTTAGTTTTTTAGTAAAAAAACATGTATTTAATACTCAATGAGACTCAAGAATACATTCACTGTTAAATTTTCTCACAAAAGTTAATTTCGTAAAAAGAGATAATTATGTAATAATTTGAAGGCTTGTATCATAGTTTTTAAAAAATTTTCGATTTTCTCTTAGTTTATGTGCAAATTTAATGACTCCATATTTTTGATAATTAAAAATACAAAACAAAGCGTATTAACGTTATTATAGTTCTATTTTTAATGAAATTGTTATATGTATGCTGAAACCATTGTGCCTTTATAAACAAAGCGCATGTTTCACATAATGCTACCCTAGTTTCTTTCAATATCAGCAATCATCATTTAAAAAAATATACTTTTCTTATTACAACGTAATAATGTATCACATCAAGCAGTTTTTGCTTGCAAACGCTTTGGTGCTTCAATTTTTTGCTTTGTTTCTACGATGAACAAGCAAAAGCTCTGTCTTACAGAAAGAAATGATGTAAAAGGACTTTATTTTATTCTTCATTTTGAGTATGACCATTAAATTTTATGTAACAAAATTGTCGAACTTGCTCGTAAACTCCAAAGTACATAAATCCTCCTATTGTAAAACCAACGACTCTTGGAACAAAACCAGCAAATAATCTGTAAAACAATATTTTCTCATAAATAGTTGTATTAGATACTTATTTCCGAAAACACTGTGTAAAACTAGTGCTAAATAATCACAAAAAAAATTGAGAAATTGCAAAATCCTTCTGTGTTGAACTAAATCACGTGGTGATGAAATTTTATATTAGGAATCGCAATCGGATTGTTTGTTACTTTAGCATGTGTATATTAAAAATTTTTTGCCCGTAATTCCTAGGTTCAGTACTTTAACGTATATTTGTACTAATTTATCTTAAGTTAATGCCAAAAGTTGATCAATGTTGTTGAGTTCAAATGGGTGTTGATAATAAATTTTCTACTTTTTTATGTACTACCGTTATAATTATTCACCAAAAAACTGAAAGACGTAATTTTTCATAACAATTAGTGTTTAATTTCTATCAATAGATCTTTTACGACTTTCTTAACTGTAGAGTTGAAAAAATAATTTTTTTTACTTACCCACGAAGACCAAAGTCTCTGTATACTTCTTTCAACATAATTGATATCCTAACTTCTTTTTTATCTGCTGATGTAGATGACAGCATGATTCTGGTTTTGGCTACATCCAACGGTGTAGTTAAAGCTGCTGATATCGCTACTGTGAGACAACAAATGAAAGTTTTATTAATCATGTAAAGTGAACGCTGTAGGGAAAAATGTTAATTTTTATGGTATAAACCTGAAGCTGCAGCACAGGTAGCTCCTTCAACAGGTGTGCAGTCTCTGCGTTTTTTACGAGTCCAGCAAAGTTTAAAATATTCCCACAGTGGCATTTGTAGCAGTCCAAAGGGTAAATCTCTCAAAACTGTACTGCCATAGCCACGGAATAAGGTTCTTAATTTTAATTTTTCTTTGTCATACAGCAGGGCTTGTTTTCTTTGTTTAACTACTTCAACGGGTACTCTGATTAAGCATGCAACCTACAGATTAATTTTTCTTATTGTGTACTAATCTTGTTTAAGTTTTACGCTTGAATAGAGTGAAAAAATTTTCTAATGCATTAGCATTCAATAATAACTGTAATCTACAAAGCAAGATAGCAGTCAAAATCAAATAAAAATTTATTAAGAGTAATAGCCATACCGTTTCTGCACACGATGCCGCACCCATGTGGATTATCGAACGATATTGATCAGGTACATGGGGCTGGAGCAAAAACTTAACTCCATCATATGTCACGAAAAATAAGGAAGCTATAAAATAAAATAATCTTGTATGTACCGAGATACAGTTTTATCAATATCGTAAAATAGGATAAGTTGTAATACTATACCGGCTGGTGCAGAGCCTATCATCACAGGTCCAATTCCTTGGTATATGTGCTTGAAGCCTCCAGACTGGACAAAGCCATGCTGGCTTTGTAGCCTAGTCTTGAGCGTGTCCAGAGGGAAAAAGAGTAGATCACAGACGACTCCAGCCGAGGCTCCAGACTATAAATTAAAATCAAAGTACCCAATGATCCTCTATAAATGGTAGTTTAAGTCACTTGCAGTGTAAAGTTGATATAATTAAGGATTGCTAACAATTAAAGCCGCGAGGAAGACGTTTTTGGCGTCTGTTGATCTTTTCGCCTCCATGTGAAGCATCATGCATAACAGTTGCTTTTCACCAGCAAAGTATTGACAAATCGGTAGCCTCGACTCCCTGGGCACGTGCAGAGACGCGGAAGTCAAAATAAGCTTGAGAAAATCGTTGACTCATTCTTTTATAGTTTTTTGTTAAAGTTTCCGCTAACTGTGAAGCTGCGAAGGCATAATATATAGGCAAATAAATTGCTCAAGTGATGCTGAACACTGAATGTCGTGATGTGTGATACTGTGATGTGATGTCATTTTCTTGTATTATGTCACATGTGTTTGTTTCTTGATGCGCTGCTTATAGGTACTGCTAACGTTAACTGTTACTGTTCTACATTTCTGCTATTATAACTATACATTTCTACTATTATAACTATATATACTGTACTTACACTATTGTGCGTGCTATCGTACAATTGTACTAATACTAATTACANCTCTTGTAGTTTTATGAACATATTCTTTCCTTTAAAACTTTTTACGTTTATAATTTGTATTAAATTTATTGTTTCTTGTTGGAAACAAATATGCACTAAATATTTCGTTCATTACTTCATCAATCTCTGTTTCATCATCCTTTAATCTGGTTTTCTAATTGACAGTATCTCTCTTCACAATACACGACACAACGCTTCACCTTGTCCATATAATGCATGCCGCGAAGCATTAGTAGCCAGAGATTAGTATTGCGTCAGCTGCGGGACATCGGAACTACAAACGGAGTTCTCGACGATGACACGTTGGCGTAGCCGGCTACCTCGAGGATCTGCAGCTCCTCAGATATAGGGTGCCTGCAGCAGCAGCACCTAGTGCTCCTGCCTTGGAATTGTGTAACCTATGAAACATTCGAAATTATTGTTTTCCAAAGAATGATTAACTAAGTCTATTTTGGTCTTATTCTTCTCCCTCTTTACTTGTTTCGGTCAAAAGAAAATTTACATTATGGCACCAAATTTCCTAAAGAGCAGCCTTGAAAATGCGTCGTTCAACATTGTGTTTCAAGTAAGTTCTTGATTGTCTTTTTTTTACAGATATAATCTTTTTGAGCAAATTTTATTAACAACTTACCACACTATTCGACTTTGTTGTTGTTGGATGGGTTTTACATTGGTGTTTCAATTTCCAAAAAAAAAAAAAAAAAAAACATTTCTTGATTGTTTGCACATACATACATATACTTCGATGAATGTCAAATAAAGTAATTTTATCATGTTACAGATAATGTGTAGATGTATAACATTTCTACTGAATGCCTTCGTGGTTCGACATGTTGGGGCAAAACTCATTGGGATAATGAATGTACGATTATTGTTGATGGAATCTGTTATATTAATGTTGACTAAGGAAACATTTACCAAAGCTTGTCTGACCAATACTTCTGAACACAACTGGGCTCAAGTTGTTAACTTGTTGTGGTTGACGTTGGTGTTTTTAATAATTATACCATGTTAGATGAATTTCAATTCAGGATTAAGTTGAATAATTAATTTTAATAATATGTTTTGCAGGATTCCTCTCTGTAGCATCATATCTTTTGTTTGTGGCTATGTTTGGCTCTTTTTTTTATCAGCTGATGAAACGTCTCAGCTGTACTACACTTTTGGTGTGTGGTCCATAGCAATTTCTTGTATAATAGAATTAATGTCACTGGCAGTACAACTTGTTGCTAGTGCATTTTTATTTGTTAGACTAAAGGTAACTGACTAGTCATTTGATAAAAAAAAAAAAAAAAAAAAAAAGAATCCAAAATAAAGCATTATATTTTTCAAACATTCGTTATCTTGAAATTTCAGATTATCTTGGAAAGTATTATGATTGCACTTAGGACTGTAACGTTTGTATCTATTATTGTTTTTAATCCAGAGAATGCCCTTCTTGCGTTTGGAATAGCTCAATTAATTGCGGCTGTTTTTTATACTACAAGTCATTATGTTTACTTCTATCATTACATAAAAAGGTTGAAAAGGCATAAACTTAAAAGAAGGCTGTCGATGAGCGATGATGGAACGGAAGAATACGTTGAATCTGAATTTCCATTTCTCTCAATAAAAGAGTTCTTGCCAGGTCAGCTTAAAAATCATGTATGTACATTATAAGTTACATCACGCGTAGTGCCAACTTGGAATAGCACTTGTAACGTAAGATTTTCCATTTGGCAGGATACCTATTTCAATAAAAATCTGTCCTCTTTAACATGGAGTTTCTTGATGCAAGGCGGTCTCAAGCAAATTTTGACAGAAGGTGAAAGATACATCATGACGTTTTCACCCTTACTAACACTAGCAGAACAGGTAAATTGATCCTCATTCCACCAAAAGTATCATCTTCAAACAGTTGATTATCATTTAACGTTTATATGACTTAGGGTATGTACGACGTTGTGAATAATTTGGGCTCGTTGGCAGCTAGATTCATCTTCAGGCCAATCGAAGAAAGCAGCTATTTTTATTTCACCCAAATGGTGGAGCGAAGTCAGCCGCTGTCTCGCCAAAACCCGGCAAAGATGTACGAGAGCACAAACGTCTTGAGATATCTTTTTACCGTGGTCACGTCCATAGGACTCATCGTTCTAGTCTTTGGCCAATCTTACTCCCCTCTACTTTTATGGCTCTATGGCGGTGATGCTTTATCATCGACGCTGCCGGTACTTTTACTAAGAGCCCACTGCTTGGCTGTGTTACTGCTGTCAGTTAATGGTATCACCGAGTGTTATACACATGCCACGGCTGACAGTGCAACCCTCAACAAGAATAACTTCATTATGATCTGCGAGTCGATAGTCTTTCTAGGAGCCTCTTATATTTTCGTAGTGTTATTCGGACCTGTTGGTTTTATATTGGGCAACTGTGTCAATATGGGACTTCGGATTATACACTCGATTTTGTTCATTAATAAAAGGTATTCGGTTACCAATGAACAACCGTTAGCCGGTCTGGTTCCCAAGCCATTCTTCAGTACCTGCTTAATCGTAGCTGCACTTGTTACCTCATGCTCTCAAGTAAGGAAGTCTTGTTGTTAAGGGTATTTTAACTAATGCAGTATTTAAAAATGTTACATAACTTTGTTTTTTTTTTATAGGCTTATTATTTTCCCGACAAAAAGTTTTTGCACTTTTTCATTGGCGTCATCATGTTCATGATAGTAGTCATCTCGTGGGCTTACGAGAATTCTGATCTTCTCAAGCTTGGCTTAAATAAATGGCTTGAGAAACGTAATGGAGACGTAAAACGCGATTGACATTACCATTGTTATTATTATGATGGATATTTCCCGTCGTATTGATTTGTTACCTGTAGATATATCTTAATGACAGTATAACACATGTTAATTGTATATTTTGTAGAATTACTAAATACAAACTATATTTTTTATATAAAATTCAACATATTTTTTATTATTATTACAGTCATGTCATGTTTTTAATTAACTAAAAAATTTTGTGCCTTGCGTAATAGATGAAACTTATCTGTACACTAGCTCAGTATAAGAACAATTTTTTCAGAGCAGCGTTTTCTAGTATTAATACTGTAAGGTTGTTCAAACAACAATTTTATTATAAGCGCTAAAGTTCCATCGTGTAGCAGTGAAAACGTTGAGAAAAGAAAAAAGAAAAATTTGTTGATGTACAATGTACTATTAGCAAACACCACTCGCTTTTAAAATTTTCGAGATTGATTTTTACTGTGATGAGTAACATATTATCCATTCACATGAATAATTTCAATGATGCAGCTGATTTTTATCACCCATACAACTGACACACGAGTCAGTGTTTTTTTGCATTTTTGTGTAAAAACTGTTATTTAAGAATTTATAAGTAATTATAATTGCAACTTAAGTAAACTGACTGACCAGCAGAATGGACATAAATTTTCTTTAGAGCACAAGCGAATGGCGACGGAGAATAAATATGTTGAATACCTCGCCTAAGTTACTATCTATATAGTAAAAGACCGCGATCAAACATCACACGACTGCAGAAAGGATGTGTGGATTGCGTAAAAAAAAAAGTTCCCCCACTACTACATTACTAAAAAAAATCAGCTTTCAATTGATTTTCTAAAATATATTTTTTGTTTGTTCCCGCATTTATGAATTATTAATTTTATTAGTGGAGGCAAATTGGACACTGCTCGCGTGTCTTAATCGTTTCATAACTTTTTCCAAAATTTATAAAATTTGTAATTAAAGTTGGTATTTCTTCAAATGCAATTTTTTTGCACTCGTGGCACTTGCATTTTTTCAAGTAAACATCTGCTTATACGAAGTTGTTTTAGCAACTTATTTATTTTATGGATACTGCAATACTTTCTTTTAGCAGGAATCATAGTAGTTAAAAGTTTTTTTGCAGTATCAACCAGCAAATTGTCTTTATATATTTTACCAACACGTTCTAAATTACTAGCAACATGTTTAAAAATCGTCCTGTTGGATTGTGTTATCCGATCAAAGTCAGACCTATATTTTTCACGGGAAGGATTATACGTATTATACGTACCTGTTGCTGTTGTTATGCTAGTTGTGNCTTTTCAAAAATCGTCCTGTAGTTGGGTTGTCTTTTGACCTGTGAAAGTCAGACCTATATTTTCCACGAGATTTTTCACGGAAAGCAATATACATAGGTACCTGTTGCTGTTGTGCTAGTTGTGCAAAAACAGTACGTTATACAACTAGTGAAGAAACATCAACTTTGACCTAGAAGTTATTTTTTTCGATATCGAGAAAATGGCTCATCTGATGCAATCTAATCACGAGGTAAGTCGACCTCCATTTTGATGTCTAAAATTTTCTGGGAGAAGATACACGTGATGATTTAATGTTTTAAAAAATAGCTCAAAAATAGGCTTTTTCAATAATCTTCAAATGTCTCGAAAGGTATTGGTTTTGAAGCAAATTGTTGAGTACAAAAGTCATTTGTCTGATAACTTGACGCAAGGATAAGGCTTTAAGAAAATTATTTCATTATTTGTACAAGCTACAAAAATAAAAAACGTAAAAAAATGTTAAATTGACAAAATCTTCGATTTCTCAAAAATTTAATTTTTCAATTAAACAAATGAGAAAATTACGAACGCAAAACCGCAAATGAAAAACGATGTTTTCATAATTTTTAATCTAGACGTAAGCGACTTAGTACAAGTAATTGCGCTTATTTTTACATGAATTTAAAAAAAAAAAAGCTTAGTGAAGCAGATAAATATAATCAGTAGGTTTTTTTTTTTTTTTTTGTGGATCAAAAGTCGCGAGAACTGTACGAAGCTTAACCACACAGCCCATATCGTCTCTACCAGCAAAAACCTCTGTAACTCATGCTAGCAGCTAGTGACCTAGGGAAGCGAAGTATTCTATTTTTTAATGAGTACAAAATCGCCTTTCTTTAACGATCTATGTGGCTGATACCACATCACCTAAGTTCGTAACTGCCGCAGATACTTGTACGACCAACGGCGCCAATATTGTTGAACCATTTGGGTCAAAAGTCTCCACTGATGAAAACTAGAGATTTTGACGTCACTTAAATCGGGTTCAAGGGTGATAAACGAAGGTCGCATGATGAGAAAGTGGGCTAGAGTGAGGGGTAAAAGATCCTTGGTGGAGTCAGTCAAGGGAGTAATTTGCTTAGAGTTGAGACATACTTCCACTTGACAGAGAAGTATGGAATACTCTACAACTGTAAGGATTTAACTATTGATAATTCGTCTTAAATGGTGTTTGACCGACTTGACAGCTGACTCCTATGATCCACTAAAATGAGGGTTAGTTGGAGGGTTAAAATGCCACCTTGTGCCACGACGAGCAAGCTCATTTAAGAAAGGTCCGGATTGAGTTACCACTTTAACTTCTATCAATCAACTCCTCGAGTGCACCTATAAAGTTAGTGCTTCGATCACTTAATAGGTCAGTACATTGACCTTTCCAAGCAGTAAATTTGCTAAAGGTGGCGAGAAAACTCTCCGTATTGTAACTTTGAGCTCAAGCTGGATGGCGTGAGTGCAACAGCATTCAAAAATAACGATGTAACCTTTAGGCGTTCCCCTCTCTTTCATTGTAGACAATCGAACAGAAAAAGGCCTAGCATAATCAACGCCACATCGAGCAAATGGAGGTGTGAGGAAGAATTAGGCTTTGGATAAATTAGTCATCTGTTGAGTGAGAGTTGGGGCAGAATATCGACGGCACGTGAAGCAGCGTGAAACGATCGAGCGAATAGCTTGTCGGCCACAGAGAACCCAATACTTCTGCCTTAACGTAGTGAGCGTGAGTTGAGTACCACCATACAGTATGAGAAGATGGAAATCACAAATAATAAGATTCATAAAGTTATCAGCAGGTTGCAAAATGATCAGATGCTAGCTATGATCAGCAAGTAGTGATTAACTCAATCTACTTCCTACTAGAATTGAATAAATAAACAACATCGGTTTGAGAGAAAGAAGAGAGCTGTTTCGAAGTACAATGAAGTAAGACTCGTTCTTTCGGTTTGTAGAGCCTCGAGCACTCATAAATCTGGTACTCCTGTTTGAAGTACAACATCTGGTGATACTGGATAAGGATGAACTCTGCATTATTCAATTCGAAAGCCAAAACGAGACTTTCTGCTTCGAGTATATTACGAATTTGCAAACGTAAAAGACGGGGATTAAAAAGTGTAGCATTTTTTAACGATCGTCGGTTGAGTAAGTGAAGACAAGCTTTAAAACTAAATCTTACACAGTACGCAGTAACGCGTTAAAATTTATGTCAGTGACTAAACCTTAAATATAATGGCTAAACTTAAGGAATTTCATCACAAGTCGTAGCTTGATAAGATTCTAGATCTTGCAGTCTAGTAGTTAATTCAGGATACGTTAACCTTTTTTCGTGAAGATGAAACTCTTCGTAAAATCATGTCTTACTAGTTGATAATTGAGTCGGTAACACTCCTCAGAAAGCAATATTAGCTGGATTTAGCCTTCCAGAGACATGATACCAACACGCTAAGGAATGAAACGCATGACTAGTGCTGCAACGATTACCATCAACGTAGGGCATTCGGAAGGCTGAATGCTTAACTAATAAAACACGTCCTTAAATTTTGACCAAAGATGCATAGAATCAACCTTGAGTGGAGAAGCATCGGGACGATGCTTTATTCGCTTTAAGCGTAATTCCGAAATCGCGCCTTCACTGGGCACTTTAAGAACGATTGGTCGTGATTAGAAAAGGATAGTACTACTAATTGATTTCCATATGCTTGTAGAAAAGCGACATGTAAGGGTTTTGGCCACTTGGTGAATGGAGCTGAAAGCTCGATTTTATAATAATTACCTTTTCTGATGACTACCAATCGTTCTTAAAGTGCCCAGTGGGGGCGCGATTTCGGAATTGCACTCAAAGCGAATAAGCTTTGCAAATACAACACTAAATACAACACTGTGGCGTATGCAACCTTAAAAGTATCAAATAACCGTATAATTCTAAAATTACGAACTTAGAAGAATAATCGTTCAAATGAGGAATAGTAACAGTCTTTAACTCATAAATTTCTCTAAGACAATGATTTTAATGTTCAATAATTATATCAGGGATTGCTGCGTCACACCATATCTGCGCTAACCAAAGTTCTTACATGATGATTTTAGCATAAATAATTCTAGGTGCCAATCAACCAAGTGGATTGGACAACTTAGCAGCAGTTGAAAGAATCAACCGTTTGGTCTAGACTTGTTTTATCTCGGGCACATTGATTTTATAATGGAAATCATCCTCTTTCGGATACCAAGAAAATTCCAAAATGGTCACAAAAGCTTCAAAGACGGTAAATTGATGAAGATTAGTGCTAAACAAATCTGAAGACAAACCATGTAAAACATGTGGATCATTAGAAGCTCATTTCCGAAGTGAGAATTTGCGTGTATCAGTGTCTCCAATCAACATATTTTCCTTTTTTACTGTGGTAAGCACATGTACGCCTTAAAGAACGTTATCCATATAGACTTCTTTATTTAATATGACAAAAGCTAACGAAAACTGAGAAGCACAATCGCTAGCTAACTGTTTGATAATTTGGCAAGCTAAGAAAAGTGAGCAAGTATGGCCTATACGGAATGGACGAGAGTTAAAAGCATTTTAAACGGGCTTTTGAATACAATCTCCAAACAATGAGTTGGTAACAACGATCAACTTTACGAACAAGAATTTGCCTAAACATTTTCTCAACGTTAGTAACAAATGCGTATCTCTAATTACGCTGTTTTAAAATTAAATTAAATAGATTAGGGAGGAGGTTGTGATCGAGAAGGTAAAGAAGTGCCTGTCGTGGTCCAGAAGGAACCGTTGAAGACCGTCTTAAGTTGGGTAGACGAGCTAGAAACCTCGAGGAGTC